CACAGAGTAATTAATCGAGGCGCTCCTGCCACACTTCCAACACATCCTTCCTCCAGAGCTTAACCCCGAGCGTCCCGGCTCCGTTCAACCCCGTCCCTGTGCTCTGAGTCCTGGAGCCGTGTCCCCACGGGCCAGCCCCTGTCCATGTCCCCTCCAGGCCACCTGATCCGAGAGCAACTGCCAGAGTCTACAGAACCGAAGGGTCTGAAAGCGCCCCCAGCTCTTTATTTGATGTGATACTATAAATGAACACAGTGAGAGAACACGCAGGGATCCCTCAAACACCGAACCAGCCTCCCCCCAGAGCCACCAGCCCCGCATTTCCCTCTCTGGGATCACCTCCTCCTCCCAGCCCAGCCTGCATCCCGGTTTACACGGGAACCCCCGAGGAGGGGATGGAGCAGCAGTGACGCTCCTCTGGGGTGGTGGCACTCGGAGCACTGGGGCTGCCCTGTGCCTGCACTGGTGGGCAGTGTGGGGACATGGCTGAGCTGTGTCCCGGCGTGTTGGCCCTCGTACAGGTGTGATGTCCCTGGGAAACGGCCTGGCTTCCCCAGGAACAGCCCCCTCCCCGGGCAGCTGGGCCCTCGGGGGCACCTGTTCTCAGGGAAAATGGGGTCAAAAATGGGAGTTCTGAGGCCCTGATCCCGGAGCAGGTCTGGCCGTGTCAGGGCGTGCCCGGCCGTTGTCACCCGCAGCCAGTTCCTGTTTTTTTCCCAGAGCCTGGAAATCCCCTGACTTTCCGAGGGGGGAGGTTCTCGGCGGGCAGGGCCGGCCTGGACCAGGCCGCGGTCCGGCCTCCATGACACCCCCGTGCCCTCCGCCCTTTGCCCTTCGCCTCCTGCCGCGAGAGTTGACGGACAGCTCCCGAGACCAATCACAGCGCTCCGTCGCCGCCAACCCCGCCTCTCGTGGTAACGGACATCTCCTGCAACCTATCACAGAGCCTCGCCGCGGAAAGCCCCGCCTAAACTAGTGACGGACAGCCATCTTGACCCATCACAGTGCTTCGTCGCCCGGTTGGACACGCAACGAGCCAACCGGAAGCGCATCCGCGCTGCCGGCCCCGCCCCGTCCCTCTGTGGCCGGGGCCAATCAGCGTTAGAGCACGCGAGGGCGGGGCCGGCGGCGCGGCCAATGGGGACGCGCGGCGGGGCGGCGCGAGGCGCGCGGGGCGGGGGGGCGGCGGGGGCGGGCGGGGACAAGATGGCGGCGGCGGCGGCGGCGGCGCGCGCGCGGCGGGGCGGGCGGTAACGGGGCGGCGGGACCGCGACAGGGCCCGGGACAGGGCGGGGGCGGCGGCCGAGGGGCGGCCCCTGAGCTCCACGGGGGAGGCGCAGGCGCGGCGGGGCGGAGCGCGGCGCCGGGGCCCGACCCGGTTCGCCGGCCCGGCGGCGGGGAGGGGGGACTCGGCCGCCCGCCCCCCTCCCCCGACTCACCGTCCGGGGCGGCGGGAGCGGCCGGGGCCGCCCGCAGGGGGAGGGCCCGGAGGTCACCGAGCCCCTCCCGGCCCGGGCGCTGCTTCGGTCGCACCAAAAGTGTCCCGTCCCCGTCCCCCCTCGCTGCCCCCCCGGCGTGTCCCCCCCGCCCCGCCGAGCCCCGCGGGAGGGACCGCCCGGGCCCGCCGGGCATCGCCCCCCTGACTCCCCGCGAGGGACCGGGCAGAGGGTCCCCCGGCCCCCCGGGCGGGTTTGTTGTCCTGCGCCGCTGACCCCCGGCAGAGGCGGTGACACATCATGTGCCAGGCGCAATCCCGGTGGATGAAGGATGCCCCCGGGAGCTCTCGGTAGGCACCGAAGGCCTCAAACTTTTGTAGGCGAAAGCGAAGAAGTGAGAATTGTCTGGGAAAGCTCCTTCAAGGAAACTTGGTTCCAGCTCCCCAACGGCTGAAACACCCCCCAGCCCGTGCTCCCGGGACACACCTTCCTCAGCCCGGCCGGGAAGGATGAGCTCCTAGGGATGGAAAGCCACGAGAGGGACTGGGAGCTGGTCTGGTTCCACGGGGTGGCCTGACGGCCCGAGGATGACCTAACTGGGCCCAGTCAAGGCCAGGTGACTGGGAAAAGCCCCGGCAACGGGACCGGGCCGGAGGCAAAGCGAGTCCCAAACTGAGTGTGTCCCGTCACACATTTATGTTCTTTTTCAAAGACGTTCTGGAGCCAGGCCGGGATCTTTTGGCATCCAACTG